TTTGCTTACAGAGGTTTAGATGATGTGTGAACACACTTTGCAAACAGCGCAGAATTTCAATCCGTTATGAAACAAAACACATTGTTATAATCATGCATGTTTGAACCGCCTGGTGAGGAAAGTGCCTACGTAAAGGGAAGTGATCTGCATTGTCGTGCACATCTATTAACTCCTAACGTGACCTTAAAAACTGGCATGCAGTGAAATGAAAGCCTGAGCCTCGGACCGGCCGCGCAGAGGCTGCGGGTGCCCAGCCGCGCCCGGTACGAGCCGCCCCGGAGCCCGGCTCCCTCTCGCCATCCATATTTCTCGGTTAAGCACAACAAAACCCGACGTTTCAATGCGTGGATTTAACAAACGGCAAGAGCGGCTCCATGGCAAAAATGTGCACTGCGGAGAGACTGCCCAGAATATTTTTGCTCGCAATTGCAAATTAACCAAATGTTCGATACAATACCTGCTACAAATTAACCAAGCTAGCAAAATAACAGTGACCTGAGCATGACGTGGTAGTGCACAAATGAACGACATTTCTTCCCCAGCAAGTACATTTTTCAAACATTAACAATGGACATGTGGAAAAGAAAAATAATAGGAGATTCGAGCAGAGCAGCGAGGAGTTGCACGAAAACGATTTGGAAAACGCAGCAGTTAGAATACAAATGCTATTTACCTTGTGATTTTCTCTGCCCGTGACTTGCTTTATTGTCCCTGCCTAGCCTTTCTCCATAATGCAGAACCAGCCCAGGCAGCAGCAATGCTCCTTCAGTGCCGGGCTTGTTACTAAAGGGCTCGTGTTCTTAGAGATTTGGGGGGCTGCATTAATTCTTACATTAGGACTATTTTAATTTGCAATCTGTCAGTCCATCTCCTGGCTGTGGCTCGGAGATGGCAGTGTGCTATGTCTCTCCCTCTCTGCACAGCATTTACTCACGTTCAAGAACAGCCAACAGAGACCAAAAAAAAAAAAAAAAAAGAACTAATTGAGCTTGTGTCGGTATTGGCTAATTTCTGCTAATACTCTGTAAATTCCTCTTTTCCTCCTAACCTTCCCCCACGCAGGTTGGGTTTTCACAAAGCATCTCCGGAGATGCAGGAGCCTCTTTCTCAGCTCTGCGTGGCGAGCTGGCGGGGAGCGGCGTTTCAGTCGGGGTGTCAGCGCCTCGGTGTACACAATGCAACCTTAACTCCTGCCTTCAGAAACGGCTAAGCTGCCCTTTCCCAACCCCCACCCCCGTTATGATTGACTCTGTTTTTAAATTTGCACTTGTTCCCACCAAGCGCCATCTAACTCGTCCTGTCTCTAAAGTGAACTTGTGTTGAAGGTGAAGTTTTCAATATAGAGGTCGTGACACCGAGGCACAGCTTACCGCTCGGCGCTTCATGCTGTATTAAACACAATCAAAACGACCCCCTTTTAGACCGTTTTTCTCCCCCTCCTGCAGACGAACAATGAGGGAGGGGGGAAAAAAAGAAATCTCTAAAATATAACAAAGTCAGATCTGCGCGGATGATAATAAACCCGTTCGTCGCGCTGCCCGACGCGAGGAGAGCTGCAAACGCGCCCGCACCCAGG